TAACAAGTCTCTTGTCTGGTTAATTTTCACCTTAAGTCCTAGGGAGCTGCTGTGTTCTTGGTGTGCTGCTGGCAAGGGAACTGGCAAGTAAGTGACAGGCAGGAGGGGAGGCTGGGTCTGCCATGCTCATCCCTCAGTTACACTCATTAACATGCTTGGCTCTGCTCACTGCTACACTGGTAGTCGACTTTTTTCTTCTCTTTTAAAAAGAGAGGATTTGTGAATTAAACACACTTACAGCCCTAGCAAGGTCATACCACAGGACTTTGAACTACATTTGCTTTTGAAAGAAAGAAACTCATTGCTGATCAGCCTGACCCTCCACTGCGCCAGTTGCTAGCACACTTCTGCAGAATGCAGTCATTCTGAGGCCATTTCAGGAGACAAAAGAGATGTATGATTTAAAGACCGGGATGAAACTTTCAAGTGGGTATTTCAGCATGTGACTGAGGGCCTGTTCTGAATGATTTAGCCTGAGTGCACCCTAAGGTGGGGGTTCCTTTCATAGATTATGAGGAAATAAATGCATCAATCTTCCAAAGAAGCTATTGCAAACCCTGCAGCATACTGCTCCACCAGGACATCCTGGAGTACTACTTGAGTCAGTGCCCAGATACCCTCATTCAAACAATGCTGGCAGTGCTACGGCTGTGCAGCCTGATGACTTTTGCAGTGCTCTCTGCAGGTGTCCTACTCCTTTACCCAGAGTTTGCATCACTCATCAGCATTTTCCAAAGATTTTGCTTTACTCACCTTTCTGGGTTAGTCTATTTTTGTGTCTTTATAAATCAAACAACGCAGTTGTTGTGATTATATCAAAACAAAGCCTCCTTTTCTCTCAGATACTTTGCTCGCCCTCCACCTCTGTTTCTCAGCAGCTTCTCAGACACCATGTGAGGCTTTCAAAGCCTCACAGCACACTCTAAGAAGAATGTATCTGTCCTGAGGCTATGAGCAAGTAGCTCTGCAATAATATAATTTATGAAACTACAAGCTCAGTGTCCTTTTCTTCCTTCCTATACAAAGCTAGATAGGAACTATATGCTGAATTAACCTGGAAGTTTGTGCCTCACGTGGCTTGTAATCTGAACTATGGCTGCTCCTTCAGATCCTTCATATTGATATATTCTTTGGGGGCCAGATCCTTACCTGGTGTTTTCCTCACTCCAGTCAGATTGGATGGATGTAAATGAGTGGAAATTTATCCCTTTTTTTTCCCTAAACACAGAAAAATGTAACTTTCTGTATCTGATTTTTTTCTTTCATTTTTATTTCGTCAATCCTTTATATGATCATTATACATGTTAAGAAGCCTGTTTTGGAAATGATTAATGCTATTAATATTTTTCTAATTCAATAAACCCTCTCATCTTTGAACTCCTCACAACATTTTTCTGCTTTCTCCAGCTTTCCACTAATTCAAACACATGACAAATGTGAGCCTTCGCTTCAGTTTTCTATTATTTCTCTTGTCTGATCAAATAAATTAACAGACTTTCATTCCTTTCCCAGGAGTGATACCCATATGTTGATGAAGGCAGTATAAAAATATTACCTGTTCAAACAGGAGGGGAAAAAAAAAAGATAAAAGTTATCTCACGTTATTCACTGTTCCATGAAACCAGACAGAGTGCTGATCCTATTCCTTTCACCTTGACAGCGCCCACCATGTTTAACAGTAAATATTACAAGATTTGCGGAACACCATCAATCTGGTTTAAGTGCACTGTGTTGTAACATCCCTTTGCAATCTCTCCATACAGTAGCAGTTATTTTAATAGTATAGGAGTACTTTAGTCACTGTGAGGGAACCAGGTGCCCCGTGTAAGCTACACTCTGCCAGGCACGTGGGGCTGGCCAGCAGAGCAGCACGCTGCTAATGCAGCTTTCTCAGTTTGGATAGTTAAAGCTGCATCTCCAGGCCAATTTGTACCTGTGTGTTGTTGATAGACGGTGTGCCACAGGCAAAGAGATACCGCAGGAAATGGATTCTCATTTGACCGTGTTTAATTTTGTTCCCTGGATCTCCATCGTACATCTTTCCGTCTCTCTGCCCACCCAAATTGCTAATGTGAAACAAAGCGACTTCCGTCACCACAGCTCCTAAACTGATGTGTGATGATGATGCAGTGATTGATTTGGGAAAGGTGGGTCGTTGTACATGTTGTACCACAGCGTGCCGTGCCAAGCTGTCCGTGCTGACAGCTGGGTCTTATAGATTTGTCTTTAAAAGTTTGGACGTGAAGGGACTGCAGTGAGCATCCATCCTGAACACTTTAATTTTTTTTTTTTTTTAAGGGAATGCTGCTATTCTAAAACCTTTCTTAGCAGCTTATAGAGGACTGAAGTCATCTGTGCTCCTCAGGAGACACTCTCCTGCTTATGTATTCTCTATCTTACTTGCATGTTTGCTCTGAGGATGGGAAACATAATTCCTCCAATTCTATGATACGGAAGCAGCTTCAGATTGGTAATTTTCCAGAGTAGAAAACTGTAAAGTAACGTACAAAATATATTTGAAATATAAAATGGTATAATTAATAGCTTTCTCAAAGGATCTTGAAGCGGGGAGAAAAATACTGACGCAAATAGCTCCTTGAAAAAACTCCATTGCTTTTGTTCTTCTTTAGTGAGATTGCAATAGTGTTTAATAACTTCTCACATTTAATGACACCTGTTGAAAGAGTGCCTCTTACATGCCAGGTGACTCTTAGCCCTGCAGGGGAGCCTGCCTGCCTCGCTCTTGCCTAAGGTCAGTAAACTCAGGAGCACACCAGGGAAAGGGAAATAATTTGCAGAGCAGCCCAATGAGTAAATCAAGGTTCGAGGCCTATAAAGCCTTTCCTCTGTATTAGATAAACCCTTACCCAAGTGCCTTCTCCACTCTTTGCACACCCCAAAGGGCGGTGCCCTGAAGGGCAGAAAACCTCTATCACACTCTTAAATCATTACTCTGTTAAAATCCCTATTGGGATAAACAGGGTTTCCTTAGTTAAGGACTGCATTCTTAACTCTCTGTGATTTTTGGCAGGCACAACCAGGGCTGCGGAGAGAAAGGCAGAAGAAAGCCTGTGAAAATGCAGCGCTAGGGGTCCTTGGGCTGCAGTAAACCCCTGATGGGGTAAACCTGTCGGGCGTGGGACAAACCTGGATGGACACAAGGCCATCGTCTCCTCCAGAAAACTCAGGGCAAAGCACTCGTAAACACTTGGGCCTTGGCTGGCTGTGCTCTGGTTGAGGCTGGGGGAGGGAAAATCACTGCCATTGAACTGAACGAACACGACTCCTGAATTTCCTTACTCTGCTTCTCCTCCTGCCCCCATCTCCGGAACACCAGAGCATGCAGCATGCAGGAGGCTCTCAGGTAAGCAAAGAGGAGACGGTCACAGCAAATGACAGCGCCAGAGCTGAGCGCAGCACGCACTGATAAACCCCTGCCAAACCCTTTCCCTTCTGAAACACAATCTCTGTAATGGAAATAATTACCAAAGAAACAGACAAAACTACTTCTGAATGAAATTTAAGCTCCAGCAGACCACAGCAGCGGCAGGAAACACCAAGCACAAGTAACCATCTCTTCATCCTGAATTCACACCATTTTCTGTTTCTGTTTCCTGCACGAAGTTATCGGTGGTTCAGAATCTGTTGTTGGGGGTGAGCTGCAGGTCAGGGCTTGGATATGGAGCACGTGGGGGCAGGCTTCACCTGGTTGCAAAATCTGCCTCATTTTTGAGGGGGGCTCTGGAAATACCTCATGTGTAGGGCACTGGGAGGAACGAGAGTAATTTTGTGGGGGACTTCTGTCAGTTCCCAGAATGATGTATATTACTGAGTGAACGAAAATGTGGGAACTTTTTTTTTGGGGGGGGGAAGGTGAGAGTGGGGGTGTAGGATTGTTTGGGATGGGGGCTCTCTGAAAATGCCCAGTACAGAACTAGGGAACAAAAAGTTGTCTTATTTTGTGGTTGACCTCTGGCAGTGTCCAGAATGATGCAGAGTGATGGGGAAGGAAAAAAAAGAAAAAAGAAAAAAAAAGCCGTGTGATTTTGGTGGGGATTGCTGGCAATACACAGCACAGAGTTAGATGGGGAAAAAAAATGCTGTAGGATTTTTTTTTGGGGGGGGCTCTGAGCATACCTAGTACGGTACAGCACTGAGGGGGAATGAAGGGAAGCTGCATGATTTCGGAGAGACAGACACCCTCGGAGATACCCCCAATGCACAAAGCAGTGGGGGGGGAGGGAGGAAGGGGTGCCGGGGGGACACCCATCCCGAACCCCCGCCTCCTGCAGCGAGCACGGAAAGCGGCGTAATGGCACGAGTAACTCCAAACAGACGCCGCCGGGGTAAGAGTGCAAACGGCAAACCGCCTCCGTTCCCTTCCGTGCACCCCAGAGCACTCGCACTCCGCGGGGCGCGCACACGAACGGGGCCCCGCGGCCAAGCGCGTCCCCGCACCACCACCGCGGCC